GCCTCCCGTCTCACCGGCTCGCGTCTGCCGTGCACGCCGTGTCCGCCGGAGACGTTCTTTACCATCCCCACCTTTGAAGAGAAAAACAGACGATGATGTTACGCGGATGAAGGGTTGGGGGCGGCAGGCACCAAGACGGAGTCAGCAGGACGCATCGCGGAAGAGGGGAAGGGTGAACGGCGACGTGAGGACTGGACGGGCGGAGAATGGCGAGGCAGACACCAGTTCTGCTTCTGCCATTAGCCCCCCACAGCCGAGGGAGATTGAAACCGCGCTGGGCAAGCGGAGAGGCGGAAATCATCACAATTACAGTGAGCAAAGAAGACCCAGGCAGGGTGCGGTCACCGGTGCCCTTGACTCTTGAGTCTGGAAACGAATCGGTACGAAACGGTAATCAGGCGTGTCTCTCTCCAGAAGCCCTTCCCGCCCTTTCGCCCTGCCTTTTCCCTTTCCCCACCATCAGGATCAGGGAGATGAGAAATAAAGCGATGGACCGCGGGGCGACTTGGTAAGAAACAGAAGGAAAGGTAGCAGGCCAGAAGAAGCTCTAGAAGGAAAAGCAAAGCCTTGTCCCTCAAAGGGGTTCCTAGGATCCGCCTCTTCGCCATGGCTATTTTCTCCATCCAGGCTTTCCTCCCTTCATGAGTGGATCCTCGTCATATTTTCGGTATTTCCTTCAACTCGGCGTGGGCATCCACATGGAGGCAGAACTCATGGTCTCGGATGCTGGGAGCAAGGTGTCAAGACAAGTTGAAGCGTCGTGTTCCCAACTTCCGACGACTTGACATGAGTTGTCTCGAGTTTTTCGGCGTGGCAGGCTGATGTTCTGCCCACTTACTCCATAGCTCATCTGTTTGTAATCCATTTCCCCCTCCTCCTCACTGTCGTTACCCCCCGTGCCCCCCTTCTTTCGATTTCAACCTTGACATGGAAAGTCAGAGTTTGAACTCTGAAGATGAGATGAAATTGATGATTATCACGAAAGCATCATTGAGGAGTGATCATGCCTGTTGGCTATCGACCAAGTATAGATGATGACAAGTCGGCGGGAACAAGAAGAGCATAATAAGCTCGCACAGACGTGAGGGGGTGTGAACTCTGTTGGTCCAAACATGGGATGATCCTGTGATCTGAGCTGCTGCATTAATAACGTGGAGTATCAGAGGAACCTTTTATTATTGCCTTTTGGTTTCTTGCGTCCATCTTTGGGTGTAAGGGCATTGCTTGATCCGGACCAAAAGGTTTCTGACAAACATGGGACGGAAACCATGTACCGAATTTGTTTCCCATTCCGTTCGCATTTCCTGGTCGATGCGAGAACTAGTGCCAGTTTGGACTATGTGCCTTATTTGACTGCCCAGTGTCTAAATTGAATGGATCCCCTCTCACTTTGTCCCTTTGTGGGATGATGCATCTGCCTGGAATGGGCGTTTTATGGGATTTGTATTTGCTTCTGGAACTTGGGAACTAAGGCATGCGGAACGGGCGAGCGTGACGAATCAGGCAAGAGGCAAAGCAAGAGCAAGAGAAATTGAAATGAGGAAAAGAGAGAAAAAAACAAGTTGTGCCAAAAGTTTCGTCGAATCTCCAGCCCAGCCACACAACGGCGAGGCAGATTTTCTCCCTTGGTTCTTGCAGAAAACAAGTTGTCCAAATCCATTTCGAGAGGATCGTTCAAAGGGCAGGCAGACTCCAGAGGCAGAAGGGGAGATAGGGAATAGAAAGAAGGAAGAGAAAACGAAGCTCCACTCTGAACATCTCCTTCTCTTACATTGCGGCGGCTCCGTTGCCGCAATCCGGTTTACGAGTAAGTTTTTGGCCCAAGTTGGTCAGCATTGATTTCCGCCGTAATCTCTTTTCTCTCTTTTACTCTCTCGATTCGTATCTGTTCCCATTCCCTCTTTGCGTTGCTTGGAAACAATTAACCCCAGTAGACGTTCTCTTTCTTCCATCCTCTTCTCTCAAGCTCTCTCAGTGAGATTTTGATAGTGTGTGATGTGAAACCGCGGGGGGCTAGCCCCTCCGATGAAAATGAGGCCATTTTGTGAGTCGTTCTTGTTAAAGCTGATGACGATGGACATTCTTCTTCATCTATGATAAACCCTCTTTATTTCTTTCCCATTTCCTTACTCCGTATTGTGGCCCCCATTCTATCTAATTGACCTCGAGACCCACGCCCACCCACACACACGCCCCTCGTCCCCCATCACTCCCTCGTCATCCACACCCATACATACGCACACGCACACACAAGGCTAATCTGGAGTTCCGAGGGACCGATTACACCCTGGCGATTCAATTTAGATATCCTTGTCAAGCTGGTAAGAAATCAAAATGTAGTCATCTGGAAAGTCACGAGTGGCAGTCACACTGATGCCTGTTTCAGGGCACTTCTGTGGTTCTTTGGTGACTGCAAGTTCGGATCGGGCGAGAGATGGGATATTAGATCAACCAAAAAATCCTCACGAGATCTCCAAATGTGGACTTACCAGGCATCCCAGAACAAAGAAGACGAAGAGAATAATCTAGCGGGGCGGTTCCACCTCTTCCTTCGTGTTTCTCCCATGTTAGAGCTTCCAAAACGGCCCCCAAAGAGCGCACCCTCCCCCCGGCCTTCCCGGCAGAGGTGACGAGCATGAATGAGATGAACTATATCGCACTCTCACCGCCAGCCGCTAGGTCGGCCGGCAGGTTCCCCCCCCCCCCCAGATTTGGTTGTCCAATTTTGAAGCAATGTGGCCGTGTAAGTAAGATGAGAGGTCCCGGCGTTGAACGGCGGTGGGAGTTGTGGGCTGAGAGAGAGAGAGAGGCGCGTGAACGCGTAGACCCTGTTCTCTTCGTGTTATTCATCTGCGACAGAGCACTGCCACGGACAGAGACTGGGGAGAGGGATCGAAGTCGTCAGAACCCGTGAAAGGGAGGCATCCGGAGAGACTGTCATGGCAACGGCGGGGCAGGATGATGCCGTATCCGGCTTCTCACCTCGCCTCAAGTTGTCCTACTCTCTCTATGTCTCTATCTCTCTCCTCGATCAAGTATATTCGAAAAGGGGAATCTAGAAATGCTTTTGACTCAACGACCGCGCGATATCCGTTCGGCAGTCGGATAGCGAGCGGGCGAGGCTCTATGCCTAGCTTACCCGCCTCTCTCTCAAGACTCCCCTTGTCTTCGATGTCCAAGTGGAAAAAACTCAGTGTGACCGTGTAGCTGTGTCCCTCTATCTCCGATGCCCAGACGCGCGATGGAGGAGCCCGAAACCTCACAGCCACGTATAACTCCATCTCAAAACTTCCCATTAGAAAGGTAAGTAAAATACCCTTGGGGGCCGAAAGAGGAAAGGAGCTCGCAGATGGAAAAGAGAAAGGAGCTCTGCGAGTCCTACCCAACAAGTGAGGAGTACCTCGGCAACTACCTAGGTAATAGAGAGAGAAGAAAAAGAAATAATGAGCAAAGAGACAGAAAGAGACGGTTCACAATGTCTTAGACGCTTAAATGCAAATCACTAGAAACCAAAAAAAAAAAAAACCGTTCTCCTTCTTTTTGCGCAAACACCCCTTCCACCCTTCCAAAGTTTCTCGATTCAGGAGCGATGCTCATGGGAGAGACAGAATGGGAGGAGGGAGGGTGTCTGGTCCGCCCTGCCCGCCTTGCCCGCCCCTTCTTTCCCCCGATTAGGGAGCGGCAGAGAGAGAGAGAGAGATAGAGAACGTTGCATGGGATTTGCATTTCCGGATCTCTTGTCTCACTTTTTTCTACTGCCCTACGCCCTGTTTCAAATGTCCCTGAAATCAGACATGCCAAAGACAGGTGTGAGTGTCGTGCAACATGCATGCACGTCCGTCTACTATTGGCAACCCTTAAGATTCGTCCTAAACTTTGCTCCTTCTTTGAAAAGGAAAAGGTGAACGAGTACCCGAGAGATCAAGCCTAAAAGTTCCAGCTTTTCCTTATTTGGATATTTGGTTACTTGACCCAGCTGGTCAATGGGCTTTGATGACCTGCTGTTTGGTAACGTACACCGAGAGCAGACGATATAACACTCATACCTCGTGGCAGCTTCTCAAAAGGGATCGGAAGGGAGCTCGTGTCTCGGTCGATCGGCGAGAGCACGCGGGGAGAGGAGGGAACTCAGAAGGGCAGTACCTACAGACATGAGCTGGAGCAGAGGAGGATTTGCAATTCTAGCCCATCTAGACCCATCTGTACATTCCCGTTGTCTCAAACCATCTCATGCACGTCAACGGCGCCACTTACAACAGGCTGGGCTGGGCTGACTGCGACATGGCCCATGAGAGACAGTACAAGCAGATGTAGATAGATAGACGGAGGCGTGAGAGTGGGGGATAAGGAGGGCTCCCATCATCAGCTTACCTCTGCATCACGGTACGTACGAGCGTGCTCAGGAACGACATAAGCTTGCTTCACCTTCAGACCTACCTCTTGGCAAGACACAACGAGGCAACCGCCCAGCACACAAGGCGCGGGACATGGACCCGTAGATCATTTGCAATGAAAAGTAAAATTCCTTTTACCTCCTAAAACTCCCTGGAACCCTCGACGGGCTTACGTGTCACGGTGATGCTATGGGGTGGTGTTTGAAAGGCAACATGGCCCGGAACTCTGGTACTCGAAAGATGCCCGTTCAACTCCATTTCTTCCCTTCCGATAATATCAGACACAATTCCTGCCAGCTGGAAAATAAATCAGTATCGGAGACGCCTTGCCTCCAGCTTGGAGAGAGGAAGTCGTTTCCTTGAGCCTCTTTTCCCTCCCTTCTTTGGCCCTATGCTGTGCCCATGCTGGGCCTTGGTGATGTGAGACGTTTGTCAAAATCACACCCTCCTCGACAGGCTTCCCTCTTCTCCACCTCAGCCACAGCTGGCTAAGCTGGCATGTACCGAGGTCCTTTCTAATCAAACGGCATCATCCATCTGTCTCGACGCCCCAAGCTAGTCGTCCAGTCCCGTAGATCGAAAGGGAAGGAGGCGGCCACCGTCGCCTTAGCTTGGGAAGATCTTGTCTCTGCTACTGGACCCCTGCGAACTCACACTGTTGCGGTTTGTGTGGTATGGTAAATTCTCCGGCTTGAGATTCTCATCCGTCGACGAGGCCGTGCCCTGACGCTGCGGCGCTTTCTTGGTGAGCACTGCCCTGGGTTTCTCAGCCGGTAGCGACTCGCTGCTGGTGCGTGTCTTGGTCAGCTTGCGAGACGTACGTTTCTGCGAAGGCGCTTGCGACTGCGTCTCGGCAATGGATCCCAGGTCCGTGGTGGACTTCGTGTCGCTCGATACGCGGCTAGGTGTCGAGGTGCTGTTTGACGGTCGGCTGTATGCCGGGTTGTCTCTGATTGGAAGGTGGAAGCTTGCTGCGGCTCCGTTCTGGTCGGTCGTTATGTATGACGGCGAGGTGGAAGAAGAGCGGATGGCATCAGGAGATGAGGCGGTCTGGCTGGCTGTTAGCGTTGAGGCCTCGCAAATCCGACTAGAGACTCGCTTACGGATGCTTGTGGGCTGACATAGGTGTCCAACTTCTTCTTTAGCACCTCCGAGCGCACCGGCTTCGCGAGATAGTCGTTCATACCCGCCGCCAAACACTTCTCTCGATCTCCTTGAATGGCCGATGCCGTCATGGCGATGACGAGAATCTTCCGTACAACGTCTATAGAATCCTTCCGAATCATCTTGGTCGCCTCGTATCCGTCCAGCACGGGCATCTGTACGTCCATGAGTACCACATGGTAGGGCCGGCCTTCCCTAGCCTTTTGCCGCAAGCCCTCCACTGCCTTCAGTCCGTTCTCGTAAGCATCCACGGTGGTGTAGCCCAGTCGCTGCGCATACTGGATGGCAATCTTCTGGTTAATGGGGTTATCCTCAGCGACACAAATCCTAATTTGGTCTTTGGGAACGGCGGTGAGGTCCAAGAACGGATTAGGCGACTCGCCACGCTCGAGGTACGCAGAGCGCTCGACCGCTGGAGGAGACTTCATTTGCTGCGCGTCTCCGGCAGAAACGTCAGACTTGGCCTTGTCGAAAGTGACCTTGAACCATGCCGTTGTTCCTACACCTTCTTGGCTGTCGAGCTGGATCTTGCCCTTCATCATCGTTTCAATCAGAGACTTGCAAATGCTCAGACCAAGGCCGCTACCGCCGTACTTTCGTGCTGTGCTGGTGTCTGCCTGGCTGAAGGGCTGGAAGAGCTTGACCAGTTGCTGTTGGGGGATACCGATTCCGGTATCCTGAACCCTGAAGAGCAATGTAGCTTTGTCGTTGGTCTCGGATTCCACCCGAGCACCAATCGTAATTGAACCGTCCTCGGTAAACTTCAAACTGTTGCTGATGAGGTTGCCCAAGACCTGATGAAGTCTGATCGGGTCTCCAAAGATGAGCAGAGATGGCAGGTCGATATCCTGAATAATCTTGACGTTCTTCTGTTTCGTCTTTTGCCGGTTGCTGTAGGACACCGCTCGAACAACCTCCCGAACCATCTCTTCTGGGTTGAAAGCGATCACGTAGAGCTTCATTTTATCGGCTTCCATTCTGGAAAAGTCGAGTATGTCGTTGATGACTGTCAGCAACAGCTCTGCCGACACTTTGATGTTGTCCGCCATCTCTTGCTGGTCCTTGTCTAGCTCGCTGTCTTTTAGCAACTCTGAGTTACCAATAACACCATTGAGCGGTGTTCGCAGTTCGTGCGAAACATTGGCAAGGAATATCGACTTGGCCTTGGCAGCCTCTTCGGCGAGCTTGACGTTACGCTTGGCTTCGGCTTCAGCGTGCTTAGCTTTTGTCTCTGCTTCCAGTGCCTTTGCAAGGGCGCGCTTCTGCAGCGCAACCATAGAGACATTCTCTGCCGAAACTTTCTCTACAGCTTTCATAGCTAGGGCATTTGAGTAACTGATGCCAATCTGGTTGACTAGCAGCTGGAGGACCGACACATTACGATCGGTGAAAGACCCTGGCTCGCCCTCGAGATAGAGAACTCCAAGCAGTGGTTTTGAACCGTGGCAGATGGGGATTGCGATGATGGCCTTGCTAAGGACATTCCGCTGTAACCAAGCCTCGCTCACGTTACCGAAACGCTCGTCGCTGATAATGTCTGGAATGAAGACAGCCTCTCGGAACCGCGTGCAGTAAAGAATAACGTTCTCTGCAACGAGTGAGGTGCCAGCAAGCGGAAGACCAGGGATATGAGCTGACGCTCCTCGTTCTGGATCGCCGCTGGCTGCGAGAGACCACCCGGACTCGTCCGAATCCTGCACCACAATGGCGGCTAGCGTAGCCGAGCCTCCGCAAGTCTGCAGAATGACATCGCACATGGTCTTGAGGAGCTCGTCGACCCGGAGAACGCCGGAAATGACCTGGGATGAGAGCAGGATCGCGTGCAAATCGATCATATCGAGTGCTGGCAGACCTGCCCCAGGTTCATTGTGCTCATGCATTGAGCCACGCCACGCACCAATCCGATCGCCCTTGATATCGGCGATGGCAGTGTGGTTAGACTGCTGCATCCCTTCTGGCCCTTCTTCACCATCCACAGCGCGATAATCAACAGTACCACTGTCTCCGGCGAAGTCGGTCTGAACGGCAGCGTCAATCGCCCTGGGGTTTCTTGTCGGGCTGTGAAGAAGGACGGCGTGCTCTTCCTCTAGTCGCTCGGCCACGGCCACGGCGCCGAACTGACGGTAGAACGCAATGGCATCCCTAAAAGCAGAGCGAGCCAACCGTCGAGCCTTGCGCCTGACGAGCGTGCCGGCCATCAGTGTGTTGCCTAGTGCCGCTTCGAAAATGTAATTATGTTCCTCAGCGTTATCCAGAGCCTCCTCGTAGAGCTTGACCGCGCCCCCATAATCGCCGGTCAATTCTGCAACTTGGGCCTCTAGAATCCTGGACCATGAAAGGTAGTTCACTTCGGTGTAGACCTCCCATTCCTTGATGCGCTTGGTCAGTTCCCGCAGCGTGCGTAGAACACTTTCGGTCTCGCCGTCTAGACTGCTAGGATCTAGACGGGGGTCGTTGAGCCTTCGAAGCATCCTTCCTGCAAGAGCAAGTCCGTAGAAGAAAATGACTAGCCTGCTGTTGCGAGCTGACCATAGATTCTGGATGGACTCGTAGCACATCTCACCGATCTCAATGGCGCGATCGTAATGACCGTAGATGAAGAGCGGAACTATCTCGATGGTCTCATACCAAAGGACCGACCTATTGCCGTTTTGTGTGTTTGCTCTCAGCCATGACTTGTAGTTGGCCGAACTATGATGATCATCGGTCATGACCTCATAGGGATCGGTCGTCCGCGTCTTGCCCTGCAAAGCTCGACAGGCTTGCCGGATGGAGATGAGAAGGGTGCCACCCCGCGTGTCCTGGTGCCAGTTGGGGATCTCTTCACAGCCGTACTGGCAGAAAGCCTCCAGGTCGGCACAATTTTCGCTCGCAAAGAACTTGAGCTGCGCCGCAAGTCCAAAGCTGAGTATCGAGGAAATCCGATCCCCTGCTGCAGCCGCATAGTCGACCGAGCCCTCCAAGTGCGTCAACGCAACGGCGATGGGAATTTGAACATGTCCGATAAAATTAGCGTACAGCATGTAGCCTCTAGCCATCGAGAAGGGATCGCGGTATCGGTCAAGTAGCTCAATACAGACGTTGCCCACCTCAACTGCAAAGTTCACCATGTTGAATCTGGCCAGGGCGACGAGACCAAGGTGTAGAAACGCCATGCCTGATTGAGGGAAAGCGCCGTGGGTGAGATGCAGATCCAGCATGACGAGGGAGAGGTGATAAAATCGCAAGTAGTCGCTCCACCACGCAGCGCTGACAGTCTCTGCCAACACAGCACCGATAGACGGCAAGCCGGGGTCTGATGACGGTGTCGGGTTCATCAGCTCGTTCTTGTCCATGGTCTGTATCCTCACGGACATCTTCTCGAACTGATCGTCGCACTTCTCAAAGGTGGGTTCGTCATCGAATTGCACGTCAAGTGCCTGTAAACATTCTTTCAGTGCAGCCAGCGCGCCTCTAGCATTGCCACTTTGCGCCAGTGTTCTCGACTGGAGCACATAGGCTGGCGCTTTGTCTAGAGGGCTTCGCGCACACTGGAAGATTGTCTCTAGGAGGGAGTTAGCCGCGGCATGATTGCTCATGTAAAGATAGCATTCTGCAGCCCGCAAATGCAGCTGCATCGTCTCGTCATACGAGACATCCTCAAGGTCGTCGTTCCATGGATCTGGCTGGAGTAGAGCGACTGCCGTGCTGTAAAGCTTTGAGCCAGTTGGACGGGCACAATTCTCTACGGCCGACTGTGCGCACTCGTACAGGAGTTTGCGGTATGTCTGACGTCTAGGGACACGCTTCTTGATTATGTCGACAGACTCGCAGATGTGCGAAGCGGTATTGTCCTTGGCTCTAGGATCAACGGAGTAGTACTTGAGAAGCGTCTGCGCAATCACAAAGTGCATCTTTCGCGCGTTGCATTCCTTCAATGCTGCCGATGCCTGGATGAATCTGTCGTGGGCGAAGCGGAATCGATCGTCCGTCTCGCTCGGGACGATGATGTAGGCCTGAACCGCGGCTTGCAGTCCATTGATTGCCTCTTGCTGAGAGTACGTCGCGTGGTATTGTTCGTTGCCTGGACCTTGACACGATGCCTCCTCATTGTCTTGGTACTGGAACTCGCCACTCAGAAGTCTGCAAATGAGCTCGAACGAGAATGAAGATCCGAGGAGTGCAGCCCATGCAAGTATCGCTCTAGAGGCAGGGGGAAGCTCGCTCAATCTCCGTGTGATGAAACCAGTATCGAGTATGTCATAATCGCTTGCGCCTTTGAAGTGTTCGAAGAGTCTATCAAGATCGAAATGCCAGTTGCTGTCTCTGTAGTCGTACCATATACACTTCTTCCGGTAACAGGCGCTCAGCATTTCTCGCATGTAGAATGGGTTGCCAGCTGTTTTGGACTGTATCACCAAAGCCAGAGGCAGAACCTCCTCCTTTGGTCTGCACAGCGTCGTCGCGACGTATTGGATGATGTCATCCTCGCAGAGGGGAGTAAGTTTGATTCGGGTTACTACGGGACCGCCTGATCGTGGAAACTCTGCCTTCTGGTCAGCATATGATGGCGGCTTTGGACGGTGCGAGAAACTTGCCTTCGGACTCAGGAGGTGAAATGATCGACTGAACTTTTTCCGGTGATAGCTCCTCTGGGCGGTAGGTTATGATGACAACCATTTTCATCCGTGCTCCAATGATCTGGGTGATCAACTCCATGGACTCGTCATCCGCAAAGTGAAGATCATCCAACACAAAGCATATGAACTTGTGGGACGTGAACATGCGAAGCACGTCGAGGAAGGTGTTCATCAATCGCATGGTTTTGGTTGTTCCTCCGGCTCGCAGGAAATCCTGGGATGCTTGTGAAGAGATGACGGTAGGCTTGTTCAAGCGGCCCGGCGAGCTTCCCGGCGACGAGCCACGCCTCTTGAGCCCTGCCCTGATGGACCGACTCTGAGTTATGCTTTGAGTGATAGACACTGATCGAGGAACAGAGCTGTCTAGGGCGCCAATGAGGAAGTCTGGTAACCCAAGAACCTTGTGCAGCGTTGGCCACACCGGGCGAACGTATTGCTTCAGCGCCTGGTGAAAAGGCGTATCCGTGTTTCGCTCGCCGAACACCTGTTTGAATAGTGACGACAGCAGCTTAAGCAGTGGTCCAAAAGCAGTTCGGCGCGCGGTATCAAACTTTGCCGTGGCACAATATCCCCTCCTCCTGGCTTCAGCGAGTGTCGACTGGTAGAGGCAGCTCTTGCCCAAACCTCCGGCTCCTTCGACGAGGACGATCTCGCAGTGTCCGCGCCTACGGAACTTTGCTGATCCGAGCTGACGTGACAAACTTGAGGATGACGATTCCACTGCGCTCAGTCGGTTGCTGTCTGTTGGCGTGCCTACACCATCAATAAGACTCCTAGTTTCGATCGAGACTGACTGGTGTCTTTCCCATTGCCTTTCCCACGGCCTGGTCATCCTCCCAAATGGGCCAGAATTAGACGAGGCGATGGTGTCGCCCGATATTGTCTGGGTATCAGATAGGACGGATGGAACAAAACTAGCCTTTGACTGCCTAGGATCAGAGGACGTAGTATGTGTGAAGGAACCGCTGCGACGCGTTGTGCCTTCTGCCGAGCTTGCACCCTCACTCGACAGGTCTCCGCAGTCAGGGAGCTCAACCGAGAGCTGCGAACCATCAGAGAAGCGGTTATTTGTTGTAGATTTTTGGTTCATCGAATGGCTCTTAGCGACCCGCTCAATGACTCTGATAACTTCTGCTCTCTCTTTCTGCCGACCGATCATCATACTGGGTAAGATGAAGAAGGACGAGATATCTTTCTCGCCAATCTTCCACTCCTTAAGCGCTAACCAGTCGCCGTCAGTTAAGAATTGCTGCACCTTGAGAAGGTCATGCTTCAGGCCACTAGCCGAATGATATCGATCAGCAACGGTCTTGGCCGTACACTTCTGTATGATACGTCCGATAACGTCGGGTATATCGAGCCGAACTTGCGATACATTGGGAATTCTCCGCCCTAGGACGCCTTGCACAATGTCGAGGGGTGTCTCGCCATCAAATACCGGCTGTTGTGTGAGCAATGTCCAAAACACGACCCCAAGCGAGTAGATGTCAGTCCGACTGTCAGGTTCTGCCGGCATACGACCTGTCTGCTCCGGACTAATATAGAGGAGCTTATTCTTGGCGCCCAACTCTTTTGACAAGCTCGACCATGAGGTGCTTGACAAGCCGCCCTCGAAGGATCTTGTCCCCGTGCCGAAGTTGATGAGCTTGACCGAGTTCGTCTCGATATTGAAGTGGAAGGCGTCTGGCCTGATCTCTCCATGCGTAATCACTTGCCCATAGTGAAGGATTTCCAGACACTGACTTGCGCCAATGGCAAAGTCAAGGAAGTATTGTAGGTCTATCGGGGGCTTCAAACGCAAGTTAAGTTTGCGATACGCCTCGTACCGGTCGTCAACCTTCCTAGCCTTGTAGAATGCCGGTCCCATGTCCATCAGATCAAAGAGGTAGTTCTGGCCGGGATGCTGATAGATTGCGACCACAATGGAACCCCGATCGCCGGGGTGAGGGGCGAGACGAATGAGGTCGAGTGGCTTAACAATGTGCAGTCCTTGAGGATCGGCCGTGGCAAATAGGTTCTTAGCTATATGGAAGGCCCTCTCCTCACGGAGCACATGGTAGGAGACACGAGCTACCACTGGCTCTTCTACGTATGATATCTCTGCGGCGCCGGCGGGGACCGCGGGCGGCGAGGTAGCTGAAAAGTCGCTGCTCGCATCGCTGGGTAGGCCTGAGTGAAGGCTGGAGGAACTCGCATGTTCGGAGGGCGATGGTCGGCCGGACTGTAGTCTCGCGATCGAGCCGGGACTCGAAGCGGGTAAGGATGAAGAGGACGAGGGCTGGTATGGAGATACAAATCTGGTGCCGCAAACGTGCCTATCCGCGCAAGTTAGCCATTGTAATATTCGTAGAGAGGAAGAGAGAAAGCGACAGAGATTGTTGTTGGTGCTCGGCGGGCAACACTGGAAGGCTATTGTGTGGGGGCGGGACTCACCAGATGTCGTAAGATGTATGGAAGGGAAGCCGGGACTCGTCCCAGGTAAAGCCGGCGATCTGGCGAAGGCGTTCAAAAAGGCGTGAGGGAGGGTCGAAGTGATCGTCCGACACGATGGCAGTGCCGTCCATCATTGAGGCAAGTCATTAGGCGCAAGCCGGAGCTTGGAGGCCAAGTGCAGTTGTTGATGGTGGGGGTGAGTGGGATTTTGGGGGGGGGGGGGCGCGCAGTTCCTTTAGTATCGGCGTCGGCCTTTGTTTCGCAGTCGGCGATGTTGTCGTCGCGAGAGTCAAAGTTGACGTAGATGGGGTCGTGACTGTCAGCTAGAGACTACCGTCCATGTCATATTTCTATGAGAAGCTCGAGGCGCAACTTGTACGACGGTGGTTGGTAGACTGGAGGATTACAGTGCGGATGGTGTTGATTCTGTGCATGCGAGAGGTCTCTTGCATCGGCTGGGTATGGGTATGCGCGCGCGCAATCGGATCAGGTGGACGAGGGGTGGTCGGCCTCACTATGGATACGGCGACTGGCAGCAACAACAGCAATCTTCAGCAGTGTGGGAACTGAGGAAGACGAAAAGAAAAGAACTATGAGTTTGGAGGGCGTCGTCGGGCGACGGACGGGTGAGCGAGTGGGCAGCTGTCGGAGGAGGAATGACCAGACGTTGACGGTGCCGTTTGAACCTCTCGCTTTCACACCTTGGACCTCGACACAGGACGGGACCTTTGCTTGGCCGCCTTGCTGACCACTTAGGTTCGAGATGGGGCAGGATGCACGCTGCACGGAGACGTTGGGCGATGGTGGCATCCGGCGACAGGGCAGCCGGAGGTTGCTTAAGGTGCGGCACTGGGACAGCGCGGGCAAGGGCAGGCTGAAGTTCTGAAGCAGCAGCACCCTTGAGGAGTGGAGTACGTAATGATTTTTAAGAGGAGCAAAGGGCACCTTCCAAGCGCCAGGGACCAAGCCCACGCCTTCCCAAGCACCAAGTTTTCTCCCCAGGCACCTGGGCTGCTACGGAGTGCCTACTGCGTACCTACTTTACTTTAGGTACTACGCAAGTGCTAAGGCATCATTAGTAAGGTATCCATCCGCAATGGGACGTATCTCTCCAGCTTTCAAGTGGCATGGAAGTCTGCACCTGCCCTGGAAATCTTGAACCAAATCAGACCAACTCCGGGCACTGCAACCTTTCAGTTGTCTCTCGGAATTGTTCCAAGAAAGCAGAGAATACTTGCAACTGTAATTGCAGTTGCAGTCGCAGTCGCAGTTGCAATTACAGTCACAAACAGAGCACCCCATGTTATGTGTGAGGTATCCGGAGAAAACAGACAACTTCAAGGCCGACACGCATGCGCCTTAGTAAGTCAGAGGCCAAATAGGGAATGGGGCAGCCATCCAGTAAGGAATGTATCAAATGCCTCCCCAAACTCCCTTCGTCAAACATGCAAACGTTGGTGTCTCTGTTAAACAAAAACAGGACCCACGCCAGTGACATCTCGGCGTTCTTTCCTTGTCTCCTTCCTTTCGTTCCCCTTAGGTCACTCCTTGTCCCTCTTCTCCTTCTCTCTATACGGATACACAGCAAGTTAGCTTTTGCCAGGGGAATTCGATGCTCTTCTACAGAGACTCCGCAGCGGACATGTCTGCGCTGAAATTCGGAGAGATGAACAAAACAGATCACCAAGATGAGGAGAAGGAAGATGCATGCCAATCTAACCCCTGGTCACCGCAGTGGAGGAAGAGAGAAGCTATCCACTTATTTGGGGGCTCTAGGCCCTTGGGCAAAAAACATGCCCAGCCCATCATCATCACTCCTATCTCCAGTGCTCCAACAAAATGGTCTGCAGTCAGCGCAGATACACGTGAATGGAATCATGAATACCGTACTCGGCAGGCAGAGGTAGTTCGAAACATTAGGCATGCAGAGTACAAGAAAGGGGTAAACATCCACCACAGGCAATGATTGGCAGGAACAAGAAACAATCAACGCTACGTTCTCACCTTCTCTACCGTCTGTTTGGCCGAGCTCGCAGATACAAAATGTCGATCATCGGAGCTCTCAGCCGTCCACATTCACAACGATAAACAGAGCTAGCTGGGGTGATACAGAGCATCTTTTGCTCAATCCCTCAATGTCCATGCCCATACTCATCGACTGTCCAAAACTCCTACGAGCCTCACATATTTCATCCACCAAGCTCCCGACGGACTTTTTGCCAGAGCCTCAGAAAATAACGGGAGACATGGGATTTCCGAAAACCTTCCTTTCACACTTGAACTGCCGGAGCCTTTGTTCCCTCTTTTTTTTGTCCGTTTCCGCTTCTTTCCACCCGTCGCCCTTTCTCCGTCTCGCTAGGTCCGCCGCGCCATGATGGAACTTATTACTTTAGCACCACCGGCTTTTTCTCCCCTCCCCCCATCCCATCCAACGAACCCAACTCCCGGTTCCCGTCCTGGTTTTCCTTGCAACGAGCACCGTTGACCGCTAATTCCTTGACTGTGCTCCGTACCGTCTCAACACCCAGGCCTTTGCTTTGCTGATCTTTACTGCACGCCCGGTAATCCGCCGGAGCTGAACGTTTCCGTTTGACGCCCTGCTCGAAGTCTCGAAGCCCGAAGGCGACGAAAAGCTCTGAATGCAATTGCTGGAGCAGAGACATGTTCACCGACCTGATCCTCCAAGGTAGGTTATAAGTAGCCCTGGTTTCAACGTCCACCTACCGTAAGGGCAGTCAAAGGGTCCAAAGTTCAATATGAACCAAACATCTAGCCGTTTCTTCATACCAGGGTAGAAACCACGCCGTCTCTCTCACCAAGGAAATAAGATAAAAAAGCGCCCCCACTGCCGTAGGCTCCGCCTCTTCCTCAATCTAATGGCACTGACAACGCTGTCGCGACTCATTCACATACCAAAACCCCTGCTCCTCCAGGTCTTCTAGTCCCAAATTTCAGCTTTCCCACCCTTCCCAAGAGAAATTCTCGAAGGTGTCTTTCGGCGGGACGGGGAAGAGAAAAAATCTTAGTGACGAGACTAGCATCGAATCATCGAAGCCATCCGTCTCATCTTTTTTCAAGATTTCTTGCAGATACCTGAGTCGTGGCACACACACACACACACACACTGCACACGTAAGAGAGAGTCCTGCTTCTGCTCCGAGAGTTCAGGGCGAACAAGTTGAGTCAAAAAGACAAAAAGAAAATGATGTCATTGGCGCACTGCCAAACTAGTCTGTGCTACGACGCTACCTCACTCGGACCCTGAGATTATTATTTTTTGGGCTGCATCGATTTATTTTAGCGTCGCTGACGCGCATTTGGAGAAAAGAGTGTGAGGAAAGAAAAAGACGAAATCATTTCATGGTGTATACGTGACTGCAATTAACCGCCTCGCCACCTTTTTTTCCGCTTTCCGTCTGATAACCAGATTCTTCTACCCGCAGGGTCTGGGGGTAGTACTAAGAATAAAGGCCCTCGCAACGACCAAAATCCCCAAGTCCCTGTTCCTACGTGCAATACTGGCATGAGACTATAGGTCCCTGAACCAGTTTCCTTTGCAACACCGTAGACAAATATCAGGAATCAGCGTCGCATTTATGGAGACAATAAAGATGCAGAATCTCGTATCAACTCATCCGAGGTCGTGACGGCCGCCCCGAATCCCTTGGTGCTAATGAGTTGAGCCTCGTGGGCTTGAAATACGCTGACTACGTTAATAGAAGTCAAGGAGACGGGAGAAGAAAAAGAGAAAACAAGCAAACAAGGACATGTCAGACGTCGGAAACAAGGGTGCCAAACTCAACGGCTCACTGGATCGTGACTTTTTGCCAGAGAGACGCTAGTTCGACCGGATGGCGGACCGTCTCCGTTGGCATGCCCATTACGCATCAATCACGCTACAGCTTCATATGCAAGGGTCGCAGCTATCAGGACGCACCTCCGGCGCCGCGGCCATACAGGACGAGGGAGACAATATCATGATATCAGAGTAAAGAAACAAATGCTCGAAAGGTGTGAGATTGTAGAAGCCAAACATCTATTCTCTATGTAGGTATTCCTTTTCGAGGGCAAGCTGGCCCTCCACGCCTACAGCTGCGCACGACTCTCAACATCGACATCGTGGGTATGGCGCACCGGATGATATTCCCCCTCCGCCCCAATTCAACATCGTAAAAACTCCCAGGTATTCTCTTTATGCTTAGCCAAAAGCAGCTCCCTTTTTCCTGAGCTTGCCTCCTTCCATTGGTCATGCTCATGCTTCTTTCTATTGCTTTATAGCAACAAGACTTGAAAAATCAATGCAACTCTTTGCCTCCTTTTCTAACAGCTTCCGCCACCACATGGTAGGCTTACTTGCTGTGCGAGGGAATGCCGTTGGCCTGGGAGCCGAAGGCGAATGACGCGGCAAGGCGACGCTCCTCGTTCTTGCGGCTGTTGACGAAGTCGGGGTAGTTGAGCGTGAGCTCGACGGCGCCGTTGACAATGTTGTCGGCGGCCTCGACACCCAGCATGAAAGAGTGGTCCTGGTTGCCGACCTCGTATCTCCAGGAACCGAAGCGGCCACGGGAGTAGATGCCCTGGTCGAGGAGCTTGGGAAGGAGGTCCTTGAGGACTCCCTCTCTCTCGAGCGAGGGAGTGGGGTAGCCGTGGTTGAAGCGGCGGTGGTATGTGGAGACGATCTCGTCCTCGGGCTTGATCATCTCGGTGTTGATGAGACCCTGGATGCACTGCTGGAGGAGCTTCTCCTGCTCGACGGGCTTCATGGAGGACTCGGAGACCTCAAGCATGATGGACCAGTAAGGACCCTCCTTGGCCTCGGTAGAGGAGGCCTTCTCGCCGTTGGCGAGGTACAGGGTAGGCAGCTTGACGTCGGCCTCGGGCTGGTTGTAGGGGGAGTAGTTGGAGAAGATGGTGGCGCGGTAGAAGGGGCAGTTATCCTCGGGGAAGTACAGCCAGCACTTGTCACCAATGCGGTCGGGGCGAGCGCCACGGATACCGACACCGATAACATGGGTGGAGGAGTAGAACAGGCCCTTGGACAGGCTGACGAGCTCCTGGTTGCCCATGCGCTCGACGAGCTGGTCGACGTTCATGGTGGAGATGAGCTTGCCGTATTGGACCTTGGTGCCGTCCTTGAGGGTGACAATCTTCTTCTCGGCGTCAACCTTCTCGACGGTGCCCTTCTCGCCGTAGCGGGTCTTCTCCTTGGGCAGGGTGTTGGCAACAGCGATCCAGATACCACCGGTACCGTCACGGGCGGGGAACTTGAAGGTGGCGTTGGGGCCCCAGTTACCGGCAACCTTGTTCATGACGACGTTCTCGGTGACGAGCTTCAGGTTGGGAGCAGCGACACGCTCTCCGAGCCACGCGCATTGCATCTGTTGAGATTGACGTTAGCGAGCAGGTTCAGTCTCGAGAAGGAGGGTTCTCGCGTGGGGAAGTAGGCTTACCTTGGTCGTGGGAACAGCCCAGACCTTGTAGTTGTAGGGACGCATGAAGATGTTGGCGACACCCTCACCGCAGTTGCGGAGAATCCACTCATCGAAGTCCTTGGGCTTCTTGTCGGCGACACGGCACTCGAGGGCGGCATCAATGAGGCCGTTCATGCACTTGACCTGGTCCTCCTTGGGCAGGATAGAGATGTTGTTCTGGAAGGGGTAGGGAACCCAGATGCCCTTGTAGCGGACGTAAGAGACACGCTCGTGCGTGAACCAGTCATCCTCCTTGGGGAGCGCTTCCTCGATGCAGTCGTCGAAGTACTTGTAGTGGGAGAAGATGACGTGGCCACCAACATCGTAGAGCTGTTCATTGGAGGCTGGTTAGAAAGGGTTTCTGGCAAATCAACACCTGAATTGCTCCCCGAGCAGTCTTGATGCTGCCAAGGCAAGCGTGGCAAAGAAAAGAAGGAGGCACTCACGAAACCCTCGGGGGTGGTATCAGTACCAGCAAGACCACCGGCCTTCTCGGCGGAGTCAACAAGCAGCCATGAGGGGCCGTTCTGCAGTCAATGTTAGCATTGGAACCATGGGCGGGCCGGGGTAGTGGCAATTTGGCGGTGAGGACGCACAATCTGGTTCAGACGCTTCGCAGCACCGAGACCGGTCGGGCCAGCGCCGATAACCAAGACGTCAACGTTGCTAAATGAGGGGGAAACACAGTCAGTCGCGATTCTTTAATGATTTGGGCGTCTGGAATGCCAGGTAGATCCGGAGCCGTGGCTCTGGAATGGGCGCAATGGGCAAGCGAAAGATATTTGAGATGGGAAGGGGGCGGGGAGAATAACTCACATGTCAGCCATGGTGGGGGATGTGTGTAGAAGGTGTTGGTGATGCAGCAACAGAAAGAGAGCGGCTCTTGGTGTAGAGGATCTGGCAACAAGAGACGGATTGCAAGATCAAGGAGCAAGTGATGCACCGAGGGGAAGAGAAAGAGATGTTGAGGATTGGCAGCAAAGAAAGGAAGGAGGAGGAGAGAAAAGTCGCGCGGGAGGTGGTAGCCGTGGCCGTTGCTGTAGATATGGGTTTCTGGCTTCGAGCGGTTCCAGAGAAAAAGGGGACACACACACACACACACAGACAGGACTGCTCAGGTACCGAATTCGACTGGGAGGCGTGGCGTGTGTACCTGCTTCCTGACTGACTGGTGGTTCTTGCTGGCCGAGGGGACGAAAGATGGTGGTGGTGGTGCTGCTTCTGCTGCCACTTGTTGCTGCGCTGTTACTTCCTGCTTCCTTCCCGCACCGCAACTGTGATGGAGGGGCCAAATTATTATTTGGGACAAGGGGTTTAGCGGGGCCCCCTGGTCAAGGACATGAAGCTCACATTTGGTGTCTTTCATGGGTGGGTGCCAAGTGCCAAACGGTACGTACCGCTGCTCCTATATACCTTAGCCTTAGTGTCATGTTCCAAGATGCTCCGTCCACCATTTCATGGAAGGCACGCCGCGCTCTTCTACCTACCTTACATTGACACGCCCCCCCACATTTGAGATAATCGCAACATCGACACCACTGCCACCGGCAGCACACACGCTTCAATGCTGCCATTCGCAGACTACCTTACGCTTCTTCTACTTTGCCAATGGCCTCCTCTCTTCAAGATACTGCTATTTCTGTAGATCTCCAGCATCAATTGAATCACCCGTGCCGAGTCTCGACGAGGTGTGGTCGAGATGGTGGAGACATCTCGATACACCGTAAGCCGGAGTTGCTGCTTGCTATACCTAAGCTACTTTATCTGCAGCCACCGGATGCCTCGCCGTCACCAAAAAAAGGGCTCTCAAATAAAGCAAGCAGCCAAGCATGTGTGCTTCCTGTCTCTATAATAAAAACGTTTCCTACGTCCCGGCGCATCTTGTCCCGACACTTTGAGACAAGGTCTTATTTGACAGAAACTCTCCTTGCCTTGTGGCAACCACCGCCGAATGGCAATGCTAGCATTTGCCCATTATCTCGTCCATGGAACACTGAAGTCTCTCTCACTATCCGTGCCGCACTCTATCTATCCGCAGATGACAGCCCGCACCCAAGTTCAAGCTCACTCCCTCGTCCGTCATCAGCCAAGACAAACCACCTCATTCTCCTTCTCACAGGGGTCTAGGCCCCGGCCTGCACAGCAAAACTGGAACGGGAACGTCGACAGGCGGCGCGGACGGCAGCGAACCGCAACCCCAGGCCGGGCCCTCGTGCTGGCTCGCCACACGCTTGCTTGCCTTGCCTTGCTTGCTTGCTTCCTTCCTTCCCATGCCCCCTTGCTCATATGAACCCTCAACTTCTAGACTCTGGAAGTCTGGGCAGTTCATGATTTCATGTGGGAGCGGGAGAAAGAAGAAAGACGCGGCGGCCGTATGCTCACCACTAACCATACGCAGCACAGGGGGAGACCCTCGACTCACTTGTAGGTTCAGACTCTCGCTCGTGAGGATGACAGATGCCAATGTTACAGCCACAGCAGTGGATCTGCCAGAAGCTTGTCCACCATCGCGCACCGCTCAAAAGGCAGGCCGTCCGGATACACATACCGCATTCCACTGATTCCAGTCTCCAAGTTTCTCCAATAGCGGCACCGGGGCCTGGGTAAGTTCCTGTGACCCACGGCGGGTTACAGAGTTGAGAGTGTGGGTTGCCTGTAATTGGCTTCGCGGGCGACATCATAAGAGACGAGTGGGTTTTTCCTTGCTTTCTCGCGATGCAAAGGCACTGAGCCATATAATCATGACCGTACCACTCGTACGTAGGGGGCTTAGTGAGACCAAGCCTCGAGAGACGCGGGCTGAAAGCCTGAATCAGCCCTCAACAGTCCCAAAAAGTGAGGCATTATAGAAGTGAGTCGCGAGCGTGAGTATGACCCGAGATCAGGCCCGCGTTGAGGTTCAAAGGTGGGATGGAGGAGAGATATGGGCCACACACCCGCCATCCACCTGGGTCTGGTCTGGCCGGGCCTGGTGTGTCCTGTTCCTCCTATCCACAGTTCTCTTTTGTGCGGTCTGGAAACCGGGAAATGGAGAGAGATGTGGAGGCAAACTCGCCTTCGCTTCCCCAAGGACTCGAGGACACGTTCCCTACTTTCCCATTTTTCCTTGTCCCCTCCCTCCATAGGTGCCCATTTACCACGTACGCACACGCACCCGTCAACCCGTTCCAATACACTAGTAGGGGTTGGTGCTAGGCCGTAGAAGAACCCAAGAGGAACAGTTCATGATCCACCCGCAATAGGTCCGCAGGTTGCAACCCCTCCATCATAGACACAAGTCAGTATGGATACTAGGAGCGGACAGAGACTCGCAACAAAGTAACAACAAAGAATAAAGGCGTGCAGGCATGACGGGAAGAAGCAGAGCGGATTGCGGCAGACTTATTACCCAAGTCACCCTACCAATTTGACACCTCAGAGAGATTGACTTTCCAAACATGCAGATCGTCCGTAGTGTAATCAACGACAGACGGGCACAGGGAACAGCCCGCAAGGTTCACAACCCAATCTCGAATCTATGTCGAGCGTACCCGTAGTCGTAGGAAGGTTGTCGCGAAACTCGGAAACACACGCTTCATGCGCCGCTGCTCATCATTCTGATTGATGAAAATCTCCAATCTAATTCGGCCTCGACGCACCGTTCGCGCGCCGCAGCACCCACCAGTAGACACCCACCCACCTTTTCATACACTACCGCAGTAGACGGTGACAGACCGCCAAGGCGATGGTAACCTATCTGCACGTCTCTTGTTGACCGCCTCCCGTCGGGGATACAGTGCGTTGGTTCCGTCGAGATGCTGCACCTTCATCAGCTGCCGGTAAACCAGAAGAGAGGGATCAGAAAGGCCCAAGGGCATCGACAGCAACCATCTGTGCCTCTCTGTCGTCCTCTGCAGGGTCCCTGGTCCTGCCGTCAAAGCAAGGCTTCCGAATGGTCAATTGCCAATCAGTTTGTCGGACGCTGTTGGTGCTGGCTTTGCTGCCCGCTGCCGCTCCTTACCCTGTCCCGGACTCCCGGCAACGCAGATCCTATGCTGGCTCCTGAAGTTCACGATCCTCTTTGGGCTAACTCGTTGTTGCTCTGAACTCTTAGTCCTTGACAACTTCGGTCGTTTCCCTAAAAAGACGTTTGGCTGAATCCGTTCTGTACCGTCATGGCAATGAGCGGCGCTTCTCTGACCCGTGAACTGCCAGTTCCCGGATAGCAGATGCTGGCGTGCCAATCTCTCCGCCATTCGGAAGTGGGCTGGACCTTCGATGTGGCTTGCGCTAATAAATTTTGATAATTCGACTCAAACCCACTGTCAATCTGCATTCACACGTTGTTTTCGCCTCCATTTCCCAGTCGGGCAGCTGCCGTCCGTCATTTCGCTCAAACTCTCAGACTTCGGGGCTTCAAGCCTTCACCTGTCATTGTTTTCGTGTGCGTCTGTGTACCTGCCGCTGCCGCTGCCGCTACCGCTACCGCTCCCGCCACATTGTCATCCTTCCGTGGACCGTGGGGTTGACCAACCAAGTTGGCATGGTTGGCCGGGGAAGGATTCGACTCATCTTGGCTATCTCTCGGACATTAGCCAGATGGTTGACCACGTTTCTGTGTGGTTTGATTCGCGTGCTATAGAGCCTCCATGGTGACATGAAGTACGGGGCGCCTAAGGTAAGGTAGTCTGGACCTGTTGCAGCCCGCCTTCTCTGAGATTGTCTAGATTGGAGAGCCCTAAGCCGAGTTGCGATGTCTTCGATAACAGAACCCTGCTCAGTGTAATCTCATAAAATGAGCGCAATCCCACCTCCGTGGGCACGCTGCAGCTCGTCAAGAACCCGTCATGCAAAGCAGCAAAACAAACTTGCCTCAATTTGTTCAATTTGTTGTCCCGCACGGAAGCAATGACACCATGGCTTGTTGTGAATCGTTTCGGCCTGGCGACAATTCGGCGGTTCTCCATGAGTCGGGTACGCGTCCAAGGCCGAGCCTGAGTCGCAGACAAATACCCAACCGTACCTTTGCTCCGTACAGTTAAGTACAAAGAGCCGAAACGTGATATCCGTCGACGTTTTGGACCACGTCAATGCCGGCGCGCCTCAAGCTACTTTTGCTTCTGCGCCAGTGAGACAAGCCGAAAAGGGACGCCAGCAGTTTTGTGATTCAGTGTCCCGTCGCCTCTACCCGCACTTTATCCTAGCGGGATGGGGCTCTCCAATCGCCTGCTTGCAAAAGCCCATGTTCCATCTGCTCATTTTCATCAACTTCGTGGATCGCCAATCAAGATGCGGGCAGGGATATCGTTGTTTCCCGCGCTGGTACGAGGTGGTCTGTATCTCGCCTTTCACTCAGCGATCGTCGTCTCAAGATATTTGAGGTTGGTCTTTCTTATTTCTTCTCGCCTTGCCAATGCCCATGCTGCCCCCATGGAGCCAGCGAGCTTGTCGTGCTTTGTGTACTAAGGAAATAAGATGAGCCAGGGCAGAACAGTGCAAGGGACTGGGAGACAGGCGGCACTCGGGCCAGGTGCCACCGTTTGAACATCTAGCAATTGTGGGAAATCTTCCCGTGCTCTCTCTTCACTCCTGGTCCGTTGTCGTCACCGCTGGGTCCGCGTTGAACTGTTGATGGAGCAGCACGACTTAATTTCGATCCGTCGGTAGTTGTTACAAACAGACGCCGTTCTGGGTCCCTTGCCAGCTTTGGTTGTTGGCGGTTGACGTTTCCATCCCAATGTGGGATTGCCCCTGCCTCTCATCTGCGGAGCAGCAAAGGAGGCTGTGAAAGTCGATCACCAACTATTGACCATCGGTCCGTCAATTGGCAAGTGGTCCATTTGGTAGGCATCTCCGTGTGCGTGCATTCGAGCACGCGTGTCGTCCCCAGCACCACCTCCATACTCCGTACTGCGTACTCCAGTATCGAAAGACGGCCTCTCCCCCGAACAAGACATTTGCTGGAGTGCCTGCCCGGCAGCCGGCACAGGGGTATGGGACCCATCTCATCAATATTCTGAAACAGACAAACTGGGCCTCTTGTAGATCAGCCTGGCCAGTTTCGGGGCACCGCATGAAAGTCGACTTGATCAGCCGCCGATTCTGGGAAGCACTCCAAACACTGAGTTTCTAATAACAGCAGCTCCAGCGGGAGAATTGCAGCGGAGACTTTGGCTGACAGATTGCTTGGTATTGAGGCTGTGATCACTCATCCGTCGAGCGAGTACGAATGTGTAGCATCGAGCGACTTGGGGGTACCTTCGTCTGATGAACATTCAGATACCTGGTGCTTTATGCACAGGTCACGGGTTGATGTAGTATGTAGTACAGCAAGCTCCAACCCACGGCCAAAAATACAAATGGCAACATCAAGGAGATGCAAGCCAAGATGCATGACCCATCAAACAGATCCAGACGGATGGACCCAATGATAATTGCCAGCTGTGTCAGCCTTTCCAAGAGGCAAGTGGCAGCCTTGTCGCAAACAAAAACTCGAAGCTTTCTGAGCGTAGCACATATCGATGGTTTGCATCTGCAGAAACGGCATGTTGAGTCGAGGCTTAGTTGTCGGCCCCGGTATCTGAATTGGCGTGCCACATGCCACATGCTACATACCTCACGGCACCCGCCACCGTTGGGTTTGAACATAGTCGTACTAAGGAATAATTTGGTACGGCAAGTGTGGCAGCCACGCAAGAGGCAGTATGAGTAAGGCTAGAGTGAGACCTGGTTGGACGCAGAAGTTGGAATGAACTCTTCGGGGTCGGGAGAGGATGCCCGAGAGCATGAAGGACGTGAGGCGAGCAGGCTTCAGCCTTCCGAACCCAATGGACCCAAGCGGCCGGTGTCCACGATCTGCCATCTGTCCGAGGAAACCCGAAAGGCGCCTCAAGGCGTGGCATGGCGAAGATGGCGTCCCATCTCTAAGAGTAGGGCGATGGGAAGTCCAGTGGGCAGCTTGAAGCCGCGACACAGGGACCAGCACCCACGTCCCGGATTCCGCTTTCCGGAACAACTCATCACCAATTTGGCACACTGATGAGCGACATGTCGACGGATTCAGTCCTTGGAGGCGACGAGAACAAGAACTGTGAAGGAGAGCAAGGGCTGTGCTTGTCAGTCGTAGGACGATCCAAAAACTAGGTTGGGTAAGGTATCCGTAGGTGCAAGATGCTAGGGTCCCACCAGCTCGCGACTCGTAGAGTCAAAGGACGCTCAACTTTGAGGCAGGTGATAGGAGACGGGAATGGTTAAGTTACATGTACGGAGTACAAGCAACAAACTGGGTCGGGTGCCTCGGGGACCTTATTCGTACAAACTGCAATGTTCCGGGTGTTAAGGTGCCTCGCAGGTTGAAAGACTCGGGAAGAGAAGACAACGTCTTGGAGTTCTGAGACCTTGAGATGTGAAAGCGCAAGTGGCATGGAAGGTGCGACTTCAGACGGCATTCCATCCGGAGCGGTCTTACCCGCGCAAACCTGGAAGGCACCGTGGCACCTCGCGAGAAGGAAGCACTGACTGATACGGATAGTGACGGAAGGAAGAATGGGGTGTTGAACCGCGTCCGCACGTGTTCGAGAAGGGTCTGTAACCAGTAAAGCAAGCGCGAGTCTGGCATTAATTACAGCCGAGGAAGGTGCCCATAATAGGAATGATGCCATCTTGTTAGAGCCACGAGTTAGTGCCTGCCGTAGAAGACAGAAAGAAGCAGTACAGACTGCCTTACCTTACTTTTGCTAAGGTATGGATGGTGCTAATGCATGAGCCTCCCTGCAAGGGAAGGTAGTTTCTTTTCTTCTTTTCACCTGCGGCTTCTAGCTTATTTTCAAGATCAGTGTAATTTGCAGCGTTGAGAGATCATCCAGATCTCAGATACATAACTGAAGTCACCAAATATAGTCATAGTCATATAGGTCAGTTCTTATATCTCACGGTTACCGGCTCTAAGAGTGCGTGCCATTTACAGAGTTTAGAGGCAGCCTAGTCTATCACGTGGCCAGAGACCATGGCCTCAAAGATAGACTCGACGATAACTGTGCTACAACCTACTGCCACAAGCGACAAACGCATTGAGATGTCATTTGGACCCTGGCGACAAGACCTGACCGAGACCTGCCTTAGCTGCGGCTGTAAGGTCAAGGCCCGATGTGTGAGACTGCAAGACTGAGGCGAGGCCGGGGTGGCTTGGTCCCCCTTTCGGAGCAATCGTCCAATTCTCTCAACCAACAACAAGAGCCTCTTTTCGCCTAGCACAGCAGCGGTAGCACCATGGGGGTTGAGTGGCACGTATGGATAATGGTGGTGATGGTACTGGATCTGTAAACGGCCGGATTGGCTGCAAGGTACGGCTACATGTACAGCCCAAGGGCACAAGAGCTGCATGAGATGCAGTCCAATGTAATATCGAGTTCCTGCCACAATATACCGCTGTTGAGTCTCATTAGGACTAGGTGGTAGTAGTGCTCTTGAAGGTATCCATAGCAAGCGGGACACTTTCATGAGGGTTCATTGACAAGAGTCAAGCATCGCTTCGCAGGTCTGGTACAAAGACTTAATTGATCTTCATAGCTCTTGCTATGCTGAGCCATGCAGAAACGACCTTCCTAACTCTATCTGCATCGCCATCGCCGTCGTCCGACCTGCTCAAGAGTCAAGCCTCACCCACTGTAATACTGCAAGGTTCTGAGGTGAGAGAGACTGAGAGAGAGAGAGAGAGGAGCCAGGTGCCGTGGTACCTTGCCTTAGTCACGTCGTTGGTGAGATGCCAAGGACCAGAACGTGGGTGAGCGGGCAGAGCTTGATTTGCGGCCCCTATCCAAGATTGGCAGCACTAATATTAGTCCCATCGGAGCCCCTGAGAGGGTGGCGTACCACGCAGTCGCACCCACGCTTGCCACGGTCGATGCTGGAGTCTGGAGTCTCTGTCTGGACAAGTGGCCCCCCCTCCATCCTGCTCTCTCCCTCACAGTTGCAGAGTGGGACCTAGGTATTGTCTCTCTGTACCAGGTACATGCGGGCTGCGCTCCGGCCAAGGTGCCAACACCTGCTGGCGAGTAAGCGGCTCCACTCTACCAAGTATCCGCGACTGTCCATCGCCTGCCAGATCCTGGATTGGGCGGGCTTGATCGCGTCAACGTGAACCTCAATTTCCAGAACAAGAGCAGGAGCAAGGAGAGAGAGGGTACCTACGCAACTACACACGTACCTGCCACACAGTATGCGGTAAACACACCATAGAGAAGGGAAAGAAAAAGGCAAAGGAAAGAGAGAGAGGGGCGGGAAATACCTACGAATACACTACAGACGAAGCAATCGATTTTTTTTTTCTCACGCCCATCGCTGCTAATTGCCGGGGGGGCATTCATATCTTTGCTGCACTACGACCTCGCCTACCCACCCCCCTTCCTCTTTTTTCTTTTCTTCTTCCCCTTTCCCTTTCCAACACTCTCCAAACAGCAGCTGTCCTCTTTTTCCAGACCTCTATTAAACTCTCCCCGTAGGGTCGTGGCTGTCAAGAGCTTCCTGCTTTTGGCTTTTTCTTTCGATTCTCCTTCTTCCTTCATCACAGGTTACAGATTCACAAAGCCGTGCTCAGCCCCATTCCAAGGTTTGAACCGGCTCAGGTACCACCACAGGTGTCCGTTAACGTCTAACTTTGGGACCCCCCACTGCATACTGTTAAAGCACCTGTCGCCTATTCCACGACACCTTTAACGAGTTGCTTGGCCGTCCCGTCCATTCGCTCGCTCTCGATTTTGCGCGTCTCGTCTTTTTTTTTTGCTCTCGAGCTGTATCAACTTGCTCCTGCATCAACATCAACCACCAACACCGACGACCTCAATCAATCCTCCGTCCACCTCAACCACTCGTCCCCTACTTCCTTTTCCCCATTCCGCACACCAAACCGTCACAATGGGTGCCGACGAGAAGACGCGCGTTTCAGGCGAGGTTCCTCGTGGAGAGAACGGCTCTATCCTGCCTACCACGAACCAGGACGCCGAGAAGTCCTCTCCTCAGTCCAAGGGTCCTCAGATCCATCCCGCTCTCTACGTCATGTAAGAAATCAGAGTCTCAATTTACTGCTGCTGCGACAGCTAGCTGACCCAATTTCCTCGCAGTGTCTGGATCTCGCTGTCCTCATCCGTCATTCTGTTCAACAAATGGATTCTCGACACCCTCAACTTCCGTAAGCCGATCGAGACGAAAGCCTGGGGCTTTAGACAGCATGCTAATCAACCACAGGCTACCCGGTTATCCTTACGACTTACCACTTGACTTTCGCGACCATCATGACCCAGATCCTCGCTCGCTGGACCCACGTTCTCGACGGACGCAAGTCGGTTAAAATGACTGGCCGTGTCTACGTGCGTGCCATCGTGCCTATCGGTGTCTTCTTCAGCTTGAGTTTGATCTGCGGTAACTTGACCTACCTGTACCTGTCGGTCGCTTTCATCCAGATGCTCAAGGCTACGACTCCCGTCGCTGTCCTCCTCTCTGGATGGGCCCTTGGTGTCTCCACACCCAACCTGAAGGTCTTCCTGAACGTCTCCGTTATCGTTGTCGGTGTCATCATTGCTTCGATTGGCGAGATCAAGTTTGTCTGGATTGGTGTCATCTTCCAGATTGGCGGTGTCATCTTCGAGGCCCTGCGTCTGACCATGGTCCAGCGCCTGCTCAGCTCTGCCGACTACAAGATGGACCCCCTCGTTTCCGTCTACTACTTCGCTCCCATCTGCGCTGTTATGAACTTGGCTGTTGCTCTCATTTGGGAGATTCCCAAGGTCACCATGGACCAGGTGTACAACGTTGGCCTGTTCACGTTCTTCCTGAACGGTCTATGCGCCTTCCTGTTGAACGTCTCTGTCGTTTTCTTGGTAAGTTTTGACGTCTTCGAAACCGGCCAATCATTGTTGCTGACTCCCTTTCCAGATCGGCAAGACCTCTTCCCTGGTCCTGACTCTCTGCGGTGTCCTCAAGGACGTCATGCTGGTTGCCGCCTCCATGGCCATCTGGGGCACCCAGGTCTCTGGTCTCCAGTTCTTCGGATACAGCATCGCCCTCGGTGGCATGGTCTACTACAAGCTCGGCTTTGAGCAGATCAAGGGCTACATGGGTGAGGGCGGCCGCCAGTGGGCCGAGTTCGGCCAGCGCAAGCCGATTCTTCGCAAGCTTACCATCATCGTGTTCTCTGCCTTCGTGCTCTTCACCATGCTTGGCGGCCTGGCACCGACGTACGCTCCCGAGTACGACCCCCACAACCTCATCAACGAGGTCAACAGCCACTTCGGCAGCAGCAGGGCATAGGTTATGGGATAGAAGGCAACAGCATCTTTTCTTTGGCCTGTCATTTTCCTATTTCTGGGCGTAGAGATGTGATGATACCAAACTCTCTCTACGCGACGATTACCCTGTTCTGAGTACATATTACGAACTTCCTTTCACCCGTGTGCACTGTTAACCTTTTCTTTTTCTTTTTTTTTTAAATCCGGAAAACGGAACCAACTTTTGTTTGACTGGGGAGTTACACCCGTGTACAGCTATAGAGCAACGGCGCAGAGCGCAAAAGGGACCGGGTTGCATAGCTTGCATCATGAAGTTCTAATATGATGTACTCTAGACGGAGGAGGATATAGACATGTACGTATGCAATGATACACAAAGCTTAAAGCAAAAGACGGCGGTAGTCCGCAATATATGACCGGTGACATGTGAGACCATGTTCGCGGGGTTCGAAACTTGCATGCCAGTGGTGTAGAGATACATCGACTCAGCTCACTTGAGAGAATTTGCTAGGCATGCCAAACTTGAGTACGCGAATGAAAGTTTCGACCAGCCAGAGTGTTTCTGGCTTATAACTAATACCCCCAGCTATTGTGACGTATCAGGCCAGAAAACACCATCAGGTGGCCAATATCAAATCAATCGCCATTCACTACACCGTAAGAGAGTGCTCA